TGCAAAAATCGGTGGCCATCTTTAAAGAGCTCTCAATAGATCAAAAAGAATCCAAATGAATTCATATTTCCCAGGCAGTTAAATCAACTCTATATCTTTAAGAATGGTTCAAGAATTTGTAATAAATTGCTTTTTAAATACGAGAAATCGGCCTTCTAAAACATGTTGTGTTTTTATGATCGAGCGGCAGTCAAATTATAGGTGAAATTCAGCCTCCAATATCGCTGCTGGTACCTAATAAATCGACAGAACACTTGCACAGCACGAAATTACACATATTCTAGTTTATTTGTGCCAAGTTTTAGCTCCGACTATTAAATTGCCACCGCGTGAAGAAATTTCAACTTGTAGTGTTCAAACACGCTATACGGCTAATCAATTACACGGGTTGTTTATCAATATAACACTAAATCGACTCAATATTTCTTCTTTTTTTTWAAATTTTTTTATTAAGATGATTTGCCAAGAGTATAAATAGCATAACTAGAGAGTAAATACTCTTCAATCAAGTGGTTCTCTGTGTTAATCCACGATAATTGAGCGCACGGCTTAAGCTTAAAACCATGCCACACAATCTAGGGTCAGGACAAGAGCACCCCGTCATCGGTGGCTCTAGCTAGATTTCTTCCCCAATGCAAAAGATTTATCTCCTACTCTGAGATACTAAATGCTCTATGAATTTAGCCGGTTTTTAAACTATTGAACCGGTTTTTGATGAATTAATACCATGACTGTCTTGAGACTTGCATGTAAACATTTAACGTCCTAGCGAGCTGTCAACGGCACTCTAATTAAACACATGAATTCTACCAAATCATTATCGTAACTTACCAGTTACCAAACCACCAAACTTTGATTACTTGGTCTGAACAGATATTACAAGTTTCTTTAACTCCAAATATCATTAGGCGTTTTCCCTGTTTTAACGGATGGCAAGACTGTGGAGTGACAGTCGGAGCATGCTTTGTCACTACAAGTTGAATTAATTTTCCCCAAAAAGTTAATTATTATCTATTTGAAAACTTAAGTCAAGCCCATCCATTATTTTCCTTAAAATTCTGAGACTTCGTTGATGATTTTTTACTGTTCCAATTAGAATTGCAATACTAGCCTTTTTGTGATTGAGCAATTATTCAAGGACTCTTTTTATTTAAAACATAACTCTCTTTTATCGGATAACTTGAAATACTACTCGAGAGCTGGAGGACACTACATAATGAATATGGCTTTTTTCGTATTCTTTAGCTTAGGAGTGTTTTATATGATAACGGAAGAAATCTAAGCCTGATCTATTTGCTTTAGATAATAAATTTTGACGAGCAAAGTGTAAAAAAACGCATGAGAAAACAATTTTTCATAGATGATTTAGGTGAAAAGCAGCACGCGTTCAGCAACGAAGTATAATATTTTTGAATTATTTTGTACCAAAGTGGAAATTGACGTMATTTATTCATTCGTTCATTCTTTTTTCTTTCATTCTTTCTTTCCAGTCTTTCCGGTTGTTTTTATTCTCTCTTCTCTTCTCTTCTTTTTATATTGAACAACGAAAATTAAAGTGCTGGATCTGGAACATCTATAAACTTGGCTCCAAGCGGCTCAACACAGATAAACTAACCCTTACAAGAATTCATGGATGTGTTTGACTGTAAGCTATCGATAAAACTCATTGTTGACAGCTACAATTATCAAACACGTCTTTGAGTAGTTCTAAATAAGGGGCTTTGCGACGAATCGGAGGTTTAGGGACTTGAAGGCCAAGATTTTCACATATGAGCTGCAACATTCCAACTTTTAGATTTTTTAAGGTATTATCTTCAGTCATGGCACAAACGTTSTAATGATCGAAGACAATAGGATGCTGCAGATGGATGGATTCTATTGCTTTATCTGTGGCAGCTGCAAAACGCTCTTCYTCCTCGACAGCGTGAAGGTCAAGCTCTCATGGTGTTTGCTTTCGGATCTTGGCCACAAGGCGTGAAAAATAGGAGGCGATTTGCTGAGTACTCAAAAACTCTTGAACTTTGAAGAGCCTCTCTCCATCTTGACCACGCGCACGCCTCATCTCCACAGCAACAGCTTCAGCATTAGCTTTCCTCCCAGTCGTCAGACCAATTTGGAATTTTGCGGAAAGATACGATTTCTGGTTTTTGTTAAAGCGGTACGCCTTTTTCGTTGCTCTGAGAGCCCAGCCTTGACTAACAGTGGTGACGCTTGTTTTCCCCCCTTGAACTGGAGCTGCTTGGAGAGTTGGTATTACTCYAACACCCTCTTCTAGCTCGCACTTATATCCCATCTTTGCGAGATCCATAAGGGAGTGCTTCTCGAGGGCCCTAGTACATTTTTCGGAAGTCAAGTGCCTTTCTAAATTCCCGACCTTCTGAAAAACACGAATGCAACCATCATGTAGGCAAGAGTAGAGTGCTTGGGAGGTATGGTCTGTACTCATATGTTCCGGCTCAACATTCTGCTCRGCGGGTTCGGTTAGCGTCTCCGGTTGGGTCTTACGAGAGGCTTGGGGAGTAAAATATTTAAATTCTCCTGGTGAGAAAGACGAGCTAAGCCATTTATGATTGGCCTCTGAAAGAAAAGGGTAAAAAAATTAAGTGGTAGAAAATGGCAAGAAATCTAACTCAGTAATCCATTTACCTGTAGTCGAGGACTTTTCAATTTTGATGACTTTCCCAGTGCCTATACCATAAGCACGCCAGACTTTAATTTTCTCTCCAGACACAAACTCAAAATTGTTAAGCTTACTTATGTTTGGGATCTTTTGTGTGGTCTCTTGAGAGTTAGCAATGGATTGCAGTGAAACGACTCGAACACCCTTTACTCCCCCATTGGAAAGGAKGGCACTCTCTAGTTGTTTGGCGGTAACAACATCATTTCCTTCATTAATATACACGCGAATGTGCGATTTGCATGTTGCTGCCAACCTATCTGCCGCTCCTTTACCTCCCTGAGGATCGCTGAAATCAAGACGGGCTATTTTTACTCCAGTAGATCGTGATATTTCTGGACATGAAAGGATCGTTGTGGCCGAATGATAACACCCAGCGTTGTCTTGACGGAGGTATGCCTTACTGATTTCAGGGTGTTCTTGCTTCAAGGTTCGAAGCACATCCTGCATTATAGAAACAACAGCTGGGCTATCTTGGCTGCACGATTGAATCACATGAACRAATCCCTGCCACTGTAGCTTGTCATCAAGTCGCCGGTACACAACAGAGATGTGCCAAGAGATACCACCCTTACCAAACCAGTCAGACTGCGACTCCTTGTACCTCTGTGGCAGGAACTTCATCGCCCAGTCGTTGACAATCAATACCGTTCGATGATCAATCAGTTCCAGGGTGTCAAAACGCGCTTGGTCTTGATTCCAAGATCGGAGTATGTGACACTTCCATGACTTGATGGCAAGCGTTGCCGACTGTATGATATACAGAGCTTCATCTCGTTCATCATCGGAGGGTATTGGCAAGCTTTGGCGCATTTTTCAATTTCCTTCAAAGTTTCCCCCAGCACTAAACATTGACCACATGTATCCTCATGTTTGTGACTACAGRCCTTCCTAAAATCTGACTCGCAACCATCACTGAGGGAGAATACAACACAGTGGTCCGCTACCTCCGCAGCTTTGGCCAGATGCACCTGTCAGAAAACAGTCAAACTTCAACACATGTAAAAGGACACCAATTTCCATTCAAAAACGTAGTCAATGCCATAAATTTCATAAAAAGAATATCGAATATATAATAGAAATTGTTAGGCCATCATTGACATTATAGCCTTACTTACTGCCACTATCAAAAATGACAGCACGCTTGTGTTAGTTGAGTTAATTAGCTGTTAGTAAATGTTTTGGAGATGTGCAAATGGCAAATAAGTAGTCCAATCGCACATTGAAAATATAAAATAAAAATGAATAAAAGGGCTATGAAGACTGGGAGTGAGGGCCGAAGGCAAAACAGAGCTAAACGTGTTTTGATGAAATTTACTGCTTAGCTGTTTTGTCTTACTATACTGTCTGCACGAGAAAATAAAAATTACGATAAGAAAGAAAATTCGGCGCAAGCATTCAGTTAGCGTGTACTGTGTTTACAAATATTGCTGTTCTTTCTAACTTTAAATTGTAATGAAAGGGTTTACCTTATAATCTCCCTTTAAATAGAGTTTAGTTGCCTTCAGAGCATCTGTCATTCTCATTCCCCAGTCCCGCTCAGCACCATATTCAATCAGTTTGGGAACTAATGCCAACAGTTCATCAAACGCTCTTGTACCATCCGCAGAAAAGTAATCAAGGCCKTGAAGAGACTTTCTCACTGAGGCACTGCATTCAGAAAGTATGCGATACATTGTACTTTCGCTAAATGGACGAAAATTTGTCTCTTGGCAGAATCGAACATACTGTAGCACAGTTCGACGAGGTATCATAGTGCGTATCACATTAGGCACTTCGAGGACTTGACCAGAGGAAAGAGTAAGGTGTTTTTGGCCATAAGGGAGGTCTTGGACCAAATGCGGACTAGTAATAAAGGATAAGAAATGACTGAGCTGCTGCTTTGGATCTACTTTGATACGTGATGCTTTTTGAACAGGAACTGGTACACCTCTACCAAGCTGAAGACAATGTAAGTTTGCTGAAGTGTAACGGTACTTGGTAAGACCAGGAATGTATGAATTTGTTACACTGAAGCTCGCTAAACCAGCCATTATTGAGAGGATTTGTCGACGGGTATCCCAGCTAGACGCATTATTGTAGGTTTCTGCAAGGGCCTCTCGGTAGCGGTGGTCTGTCTTTGTTAGCTCATCAGTACCAAGGAGCTTACTAGTAGTGCTGGATGATATCAGAGCTTGCCAGAGGTGTCCAGCGTTGTCAGGAGAAACAGTTTGGAGCACAGCAGCTACAATCTCAGCGCTCCTCTTTGTATAGCGTTGTTTGGTCACTTCACTGATCTCATTCCAGTCTAACCATCGTCTTTGAAGGGGTGGAATCTTTGAAGCTACTAAAAACTTGTTCAGTTGTTGAAGTGRTTGGCTTCGCACTTCATCACTATACGAGGAAGCACTAGTACTCGCAGTATCYGGGCTCAGAAAGGTCTCGTCTGAAGCTTTGATGGCAGAAATAGCTTCGTCACTTTGTGTGGACGCAGTACTCGCAGTATCCGGACTGAAAATATTAACTTCTTCAATCTGCAGTTTCTTGAGGGACTCTATAAGTCCAGTCTCATCAGCTGTTTCTTTTTCCCTCTTCTGAGTGATCTAATTGAAAATATTAGGAATTTGAATGATGTTTTAACCAATCGGCCGTATGCTTTTGTCTCTAATTTTTGGTGACCACATGAAAAAATAGTAATACGACTCAAAATGCTAACCTCCTTGCCTGATGCTTTGGACATATCGTTATTGCTTTGTGAGAATCATCGGGTGAGAATATACCTAAAGACAATTTTTTATCAACTGATATTCATATTAAAAGGCAGGCAACGATGAAAAATGGATAATGGCAAGTGTTCTTTCGATTTATTAGGTACCAGCAGCGATATTGGAGGCTGAATTTCACCTATAATTTGACTGCCGCTCGATCATAAAAACACAACATGTTTTAGAAGGCCGATTTCTCGTATTTAAAAAGCAATTTATTACAAATTCTTGAACCATTCTTAAAGATATAGAGTTGATTTAACTGCCTGGGAAATATGAATTCATTTGGATTCTTTTTGATCTATTGAGAGCTCTTTAAAGATGGCCACCGATTTTTGCA